GGGGGGTTGGGAGGAAAGGTAAAGATAAACATTCAAGTATGTTAAACTGTAAAGTCCTTGTACAAGCCCTTTTCTGTAACTGTAAGTATTAATTGCGACTGTAAAAGGGAAGATGTTAGGCACATTGTGAATACGCCCAGTGCAGCTGCGGTGATTGATGTGATTAACTGCAAAAAGAAAACCGAGGTGGGTCATGCCTTGTGACAGAGTTGCTCACATGGGTTCTGCATGTTTTGCATAATGTAATATGTGATCCACATATTTGTAGGCTGAGGAAACAGGTCTTTGTATGAGGTAACCTCCCCAGGAGATTGACATGAGGTCCTCAATGCTGTGCCCTGATTGGTCTGTAGACTGACTAAAACTCAGATTTGATTCTTAATAACAACAAGAGAGAGAAGTCTGACTTGAATTAGCACAAATACACACAAAATGGTGAGAAGTTCACTTATGCCAAACTACACAGAGCCAATTTAGGTGCCTGCAATAACTCAGCCAACCCCTTTTTTTGTATTACTACGCATCATTCTCCCGCCCTCTCATCCCACCTCCCTCTTTCTCAAACCCTCCAGTAAATGATCCTTCACCTCCGCCAGAATGATTAAGTGATGAATAAAAAGAAAGTGAATCAACAGATCAAGGATAAGGAAAATAATTCCACGCTTGGTTTGTTCATTATTAGTGGGACACTGTGATGATGTCATGGGAGCCGACAGCTACGGGAGCAGACAATCAGCAGCTCACTTAACCCTCCACCCCCGACCATCCCTCCATAATTCAAAACAGTTGCATAAACATTTTTTTTTATTGCAAAACAAAAAATGAAGAGCTGGCTTACACAATGGGGCTCACGCAGTGTGAGAGAGCAAGTGCTTATAACCAATTCCTTTCCTTTAATCTGTTCTACCCATCATGGTGCTTCACAATTAACAAAGGAAAATCAAAACACAGCTAGCAGCCACACATCATCTCACCTGGCTGCATTCATCAGCTTTAAATTATCAAATAATCTGCAGATATATATATATTTTTTTTAATAATTGTGTAGTTTACGAAATGCCAGAAAAGAGTGACAATTAAATTTCTTGAAGCACAGGGTGTCCACTTCAAATCTCTCATTTTGTCCGATGAACAAAGCCAAAAGATATTCATCTTACTTACTCAGTGGCTATTTCATCAGGTACACCAAGCTGACGCTAAATGATAATGCAGTCTATTACAACAGTCATGACTGCGACGGTCATAATGTTTCAATTTTGTTGGAACTGTTTTAGAGAGATGTTGAGTCGAGCTTACGGTTATTTGGGAGTCTGCCGTTGAAGTGCACTTTGTTATTTAGTCTAACCTGATTGACATAAATGGGGTGGACAAACTAGTAAAAACACCTGTCAGTTAACGCAATACAGAATAAGGTGCAGGGAATTCTCGTTCACTGGAAAGTACATTTAGGAATTAGGTAAATGGCAGGTTTGACACTGTACGTGAGCGCACCTATTCAATCCATTTAATTACTGCAGTGCAGTCGGCAGCAGGTGTGGCTGACATAAAGTGGAGGGTAAAGCGGAGCGTCACAGTGGGGTTTGTTGCAAGTATGTTTACTGTCTGATGCTGCTGTGAAGGTGAGATGTGAGATGCAGGCGGAGCAGTGCAGTTGGTTTAGCGTCAGAAGCTGTGACCCATTTCATGGAGCTGAATACTGAGCAGACTGGTTGACGTCAAAGGCTTCGGCACGCTGCAGGCGACTAACTGCACTCATAGCTCAACAGGAAGGGTGGGGGAGCGTTTTTTGGTGCGTGTGTGTGTTGCATACAAAATGATTAGCGTAATATTAGCCTAAACATGTCACACTGCGGCTAACGGCTTATGAACCGGTGGGTACGACAAGTGTATGAGTGACGTCATGATGCCGCAGTAAGAGACCTGTATCCAGCAGTCACACATGTTACCGTGTCATTTCCAATAAGGTATGAGCACTGATATGGTTATGGGTGCAGCTTAGGATGCACTCCCATCTTGCCTTCCCGTCTCTTCCCTCATATGCATCAGGTTCCCTAAACCTCAGCTCTTATGAAGGAGGGCTATTTGACTGATTAACGCGACACTATGTAACTTTTGAAAGAAGAATTTGCAAATTATTTCTCTTACAAATGAATTTCACCTGTAAGCAATGAAACACAAACTTTTTCAGGAACATACACTCAGTATTTGATGACAAAACCGTACTTGGTGTCTGGTATGTACTTTACATTGGTGGCTAATTGTAGCAAACTGTAGATGGATATTCCTGTAGAACAAATGTTACCAAGACTCGGCTCTATTTGCTTATTTTGCACTTAAACTTATCATAGTCACATTGTTGTCACACGGTGAATTGTTTTTCTTCTTTTCTGCAGTTTTAAAATTTGTAGATATTTGGTTATAATGCCTGCAGCGAGTGCCCAACATCTTATATGGAATCTGAGATTGCATTCATTAGACAGCGTTTATAGAAAGATGGGGATGACTGCTTAGAGACTTTAAGGACAACCTATATTTTCCCTCGTGGTTTCCGTTTGTTTATGGAAACAAAAACTAAATTAGAAACTGTTTCTCAAACAGATGTCCTTGATCTGGAGATTGTTTGTACTTTCTACATCATCTAATTGAGCGTGAAACACCCTTAGGGTTTGGTGCATTTCCAATGACACTCTGTGAAAGGTTTTCAACTTGAAAAATAATAATTAATGAACCTGTAATTGCTGCTAACAATTTGCCGATGTGAGAATGTATGACATAAGGGATGTTGTTTGCGAAACTGATTATCCTAAACCCTTTTTGTGTTGTTTCTTTATTTATTTTTTACCATAGAAACAAAACAAATATATATTTTTCTTCTGAGCCACAAAGACATTCTTCTCTCCTCTTCTGATCCAGCAACTCACTTTTGTTTTTGTTATTTCTCCTCCTCTCTTTCCATCCCCTTCAATCTGTCAACTGCAACATAATGGGGCTGTTTGAAGTGAAAACATGAGGGGCACCCCCCCGCTGCCACTTTCCCTCTGCTCTGCGGCCACCATGAGCATGACCTTTCTTTGACTGGCTGCCTGGTTAAACCTCATGCAGGCTGACCAGAGGTGGCCTCTAGAAAGCAGGAGGACATCACTGGACTGCAGGACAAACCCAGAAGCACAGGCGCTCTGTCTGGACACGCATATGCAGACTAGTGCCGACGCGTTTAACTGTTCAAGTCATTCACCAAGCAAATCCCCCAAAACATTCACTGGTGCTGGGTTAAAAAACGTGAGGTTTGATGCTTTTACAATAGGTACATTTAAAAAAAAAATATATATATAGATACACACACACACACATTTATATTAGTATACTATTTGTAGAATTAGATGCCAGTGATGGGTAGGATGTTATCGTTTCTAAAATTCCCAACATGTTTTATCGAACAAAACACTGTTTCAATCCATATTTGTTGGCTTTTAACCTTTCAAAAAAATAATTTAATAAAAGATTTTATATATATATTTTTTAATTTTTTTTATTTGCTCTCCCACTTATCCCCCCTTCTGTAATAACTGGGTAGTCATGCAGCAATACATTGTATTTGTATAAGCACAATAAAATCAAATAACTTTCTTTTTCAGGGTGGTGGCTTCATCAAAACAGACAACAGATATTTGAAGCTTCATTCAAAAACCTCAATGGAAACTTTGAAATAAATAATACATCTTTATTGTGACGTCAATTGATGGGGATGAAATGGAAATACTGTTGTCTATTAAAGCCTTTTTTAATAAATGTGGTTGTAATATGAGATGTGTTTGGTTAAAATGCGTTTACTTAAAGAAAGTCGTCCGGGCCTTCGTCACTTGTGTGTACGCCTGGTCTGAGGCAGTTCTAAATCTGCTTGCAGTGTAAAAACAAATTCAGGTAAGAAAATATTGTTGAATCCCAGATTTGTGAGTATAAACCTTCATACGCCAGTTTCAGCACAGATTTGTGCATTTACTATAAAACTCCCAGGGCACCTAAAATAATCAACCGATTAATTGATAATGAAAATAATCATCAGATGCAGCTGTAAATTATCCCACCCAGCATGAACACTTAAAAATGGAAATATTTACCTTTCTTTCACAAAGGGTGGATGGAGGATCTTAACTGGCATCAATGTTACTTTGAAGAGAGGACTGTCTTTCTTGTGTCCTGCACAGATCTCAACTTCATGTCCCTTTTACTAGTCAGAGCTTGTTGTGGGTAAGAGAAGTACAGAATGCTCCCGATGTCCTCCCCCAGAGATGTTTTCTCTAATCACAAGCCAGGTAATGTTCTGTTCATTGTTTTCCTGCTTCAAATCTAATCTGCCGTCCGGACAATCGGCTGTGAGTCAGACATGTTTATGAAAATTACTGCTGTGGTAATAACAGCTCCAGGTTATCATCTTGGACTCTTCTGAGAAACAGTGGACAGTATGATGGAGGTGAAACACTCAGTTCTCCATAGCTCTGTCTAATTTGTCCTTTATTCGATTTCACCTTTTCGAACAAAGAAAAGACTTGTATGAGGGTTAACCATGATGCTCCTCTGTCATTTTACCCCCCATTAAGTATCATCCATCATACCAATAAACAATAATTGTAATCTCTATTTGGGGTCCATGACATTAAGGCCTCTGAGAACAAGAGGCCATTCTTGCTGTGTCTGGTATCTTTTGAAACCTGTATTTTTATGTCATGTGATCAGCTCACCTTAGATGGATTTTAGCATCATCTCTGACTAAAGCCTTGGATAAACCTCAGCCTCTTTCAGAGCATTGTCACAGCTGCAGCCCTGCCACCCTGCTATGCACCGCTTCTCATCATCCTCTCACCCGCTCCAAAGTAGCCAATCTAATTCATCACTTCCTCCTCTCCTCCAATTAAACCCAAACTCCCCCCCTCCCACTCCCTCCCAGCCTCTCCCCCTTCTCTACTTTAGGAAACAGCGGTAGGGTGACATTCTCACTAGCTAGCTCTAAATGCCAGTTGCTTAATAATCTCACTTTGAAGCCTGTACTACAGACCTCCAGCTTAGTCTCAACTCTCTACCTACAGGTCTCTTCCTCTTTGTGTCCACTATCTTAAGCGTTGTTATTGGGTAGGGATGTGTGATCTCCTCTGATCAGAAATTGGAAAAAAAGGAGGCACACGCCTTTGGATTCTCGTTGAGATTTTAAGACGTCTGTCCTGGCATCTTGCAGCTAACAGCTATCTCGCAAGCAACCTCCGACCACTTCTCAACACTGTGCAAATGGACCGGGCAGGTAGTTAAGACATTTCTGAGCTACGCCGGCACTGAGATCATGGCAGGCGATAGATCAAAACTTAATGATTCTCTGACGACATCTTGCATTTCTCATCCATCAATGAGTTTATGGGTTCTCCTGCACAAAGTTGTTACGGCACCTGCAATCTTGATATTCATGTGGCCATCCAGCAGCAGATTCTCCGCCTTCAGGTCCCTGTGGACGATGTTGCGGTTGTGACAATACTCCACCGCAGACAGGATCTGCCAGAACTTCCTCCTGGCTTCGAGCTCACTGAGACGGCCGTGCTTTGCCAGGTAGTCTGTAGCCAGAGAGAGTGAGAGAGAGACAGCAACAAAGATGGTGGAGAGAGGTGATTAATCATGTTAGAAGTATATGCAAGTCAAATTATACATCGACTTATATAGCATGACCGTCTGGACCTTTCAAACATGGTAGAAGTAGTATAGTGTAATGAAAAACTCCTGCATTCTTTTCAGGTGCAAGAAGTGTTGGTTGGTGGTTGTGTTGAAAGGATAATTTACTTCTGATGAGGTGCAGGCCTGGTGCCAATAGGAGTTTACAGCTGCCCTACATTTCAGCATGTTTTGTAAAGGGAGTCAGTGCAAGATGAACAATGTAATATTTCTTCAGAAACCCTGTTCTGACCCCGTGTGTGTGTGTGTGTGTGTGTGTGTGTGTGTGTGTGTGTGTGTGTGTGAGAGAG